CCCCCCTTTCCATCTGGCCACCACCCCCTCCTCCTTGGTGCCCGCACATGGCATCGGAAATAAGTCCCTGGGCATCTCATTAATGACCCAGGCAGGCAGAAACCAGGCGCTGCCCTGAATTCCGGCCCTGGTGGAGGGAAGTTGGAAGAGGCTGGGGGTGAAGGCGGCTCCGGAAGGCGGCAGCACATCAGGGCCCCCTTGGGGAGGGCTTTGGGGTGGAGGGGCAAATTCTTGTCCTGGAGGCTGGCCCAGGAAAGCCTGAGTGGTTGGGTGAGGCGGGGCTGAGCTCTGGGCCCCCCCAGGGCCCATGCTGAGAGGGGGCCCCCCCAGGGCCCATGCTGAGAGGGCCCCCCCAGGGCCCATGCTGAGAGGGGACCCCAGGGCCCATGCTGAGAGGGGCCCCCCAGGGCCCATGCTGAGAGGGGCCCCCCAGGACCCATGCTGAGAGGCCATGCAGCTGGGCGGTGCTCCCGCCTCCCCCTGGGGGCCTGAGGCAGGACCTGAGGCCTGTGAGATGGGCTGTGGGGTTCAGTTCTCCCTCCGGCCCTGGAGACGCTTGTCAAGAGTGTTCACCCCTCTGTCCAAGGGCTCACCTCTCCCCTTCAGTGCTCACGTACGTATTAATTTTTGAAAGCATATTTCGAGGTAGAGCGGGGCTAGGCCCCCACCCTGCCAGTCCTCAGGGCCTCACACTGCCCTATCTCAGCTGGAGGCCCGAGCTCTGGGGCTTGGGGAGGGAGAGGGGCCGCTAGCTGTCAGACTGTCCTCCGCCTCCCTGCCTCCAGGGTCCTCACTGGCCTGGGCCAGGGTGGGGCTCACAGGGCTGAGCCTCCAGCCAGTGGGGAGGAAGGGAAGAGTCTCGTCTCCTCGCCCCTTGCGAGTTTGCTCTGGGACAGAGCAGGCCACACGGGAGGTTCTGCTCTAATCTCGGGTGCTCTGGGCGCTGCTGCCATCCCGGCTCTGGGGGCTCCAAGGCTCGGCGAGGTCATGAGGTCCGCGGTGTGCGGGAGTCCCCCTCGGTGGGCTGCCCAGCTGGCGCATGCCGTGCAGAGGGTAGTCCAGAGGGTGGGCCAGAGCCCCCCACTCCTTGTCTTCTGGGCTTGCTCTCACTCCCCCCTGCCCCGCCCGCCCCTCCCGTGCGCCCCGGCCCTGCTACCCTGTCACCCCCATTGCCCGCGCGGCATTCAGGCCTGCAGTCAGTGGCGTCAGGGGCTGCCTTCCCGGACCCGCGCACGTCACTACCTAAGCACCTGTTTGAGGCTTCCCCAGATGCTTGCGACTCCAGAGTGCTCCCTTACCCTAGACGGTGGCCCCGAGGGTCAGCCCCAGGTCTTAGTCCTGTCCACACCCTGAGCTGAGCCGACTAAGGCCCATTGGCCCATTTGCTGTGTCCGGGTCTCTGCCCCCGGGGTCCTGGGCCCAGGGAGGTTATAAGGCCCATTGGCCCATTTGCTGTGTCCGGGTCTCTGCCCCCGGGGTCCTGGGCCCAGGGAGGTTAATCAGTCTTCACAAGGTCGGGTCTGCTGATCCCCTAATCAGCTTGAGCCTCCAAATCCACCAGCAGCAGGAAGCTCAGGGTGGGTGGTGGAGGCTGCTGGAAGGCAGCGGCCATTCTGCTCTGCTCTACAGACCGTCCAGGAGGGGATGGGGCGGCAGGGCCATGTGCACCACGCTCCTCCTGCTCAGCACCTTGGCCATGCTCTGGCGCCGCCGATTCGCCAACCAGGTCCAACCGTGAGAAACTGGCCGCGGGCCGGCTTGGGAGAACCCACGGGGTGTAGCTGCAGGGTGAAGGGGTGTGTCCCTGAGATGCGTCCTGCGGGAGGCGGGCAGCTGGCATGTTGCAAAGACCCTGGCGGGGCGCCGAGGTGGTGGGTCTCGCCGAGAAGTGGAGCAGCTGGCACTGCCCACAGCACTCCCACCTGCTCTCCCTCCCGCAGAGAGGCCTGCAGCGGGCCGGTGGGGGCCGGTGGGGCAGACACGGGCAGCTCGGAACCAGACCTCCAGTCTTCAGGCAGGTAAGGCAGGGAGGACCCGCTAGGGCGCGCTGCCAAGGGGTCCCCCTTGGGCTGTGTGCGTGTGTGTGCGTGTGTGTGTGTGTGTGTGTGTGTGTGTGTGTGTGTGTGTGTGTGAGAGAGAGAGAGAGAGAGAGAGAAAGAGAGAGAGTGGGCCTGGCCCAGGCCCAGGGCTTCCCCATGCGCTGGCTGGGCAGGCTGTTTTCTGTAACTGGGAAGGGGTGCCCCCAGTCTCCCCTGGACCTGAGTGGCTGCCTTCAGTGCAGGGCGAGCCCCAGGGCGCCTCTAGCTGCTGCAGGGGAGCGGAGGGAGGAGGCAGACACTGCCCTGCAGCTTTGCTGGCCTCCCCTCCCCCCCTTGTACCCCCCCATGGGGCCCCGGGATTCAGGCTGTCCCCAATAGAAGGCGCTGGCGGACCATGACGTCACCGGCGCGCGGCGCCATTGGCTGGGCTGCCCAGCGGGCTGGATGCTGTCTCCGGTGGCCAGAGTTAACTCTTCCCTCAGCCCGAGCGTGCGGCCTGTACTGGGGCTGAAGTTTGGGGAACGTGGGGCCTTTTCCTTCCCTGGATGACCAGTGTCCTCTGGTGGCCAGCAGCCTGCTGGGAGACCAGCTGCACTCACTGGGGTCTACTGTTTGAAAGGCGGCGCCCGGCAGCCCAGGCGGCAGGCCCATCCGGAGCGGGAGCTTCTCTGTCTGGTGGGCGGCGGCCAGCGGGGGGCACTGCCTGGGCTCCCACACAGCCTCAGCCTCCAAGACTGAGCCCAGCAGCTGCTGCCAGGGTGGCAGCTGCCTTACACCTGGAGACGGTGGTGGGTGTCAGCTGGTTTTCTCAGTCCTGGGGTCTCCCAGGTTTGAGGGTTGGTCAGGTGGTAGCACCACGGGAAAGGGCCCTTCTGGGCTCCCCCGTATTTCAATAGCTGAGAGGTCGAAGCCTCGTCCCTGCCCCTCACGACTTGGGGCGACGCACTGTTGAGTGTGGGCCTCTGGCTGGCCCGGGGTTCAAGTCCTGGGTCCTCTTTAATGGGGGAGACCTGGGGCAAGTGGTGGCGTTGCTTTATTCTGCGTGAACCGGGGCGGAAGGGCGCGTGCGACCGTGTCCAGGCATGGGGCCTGCCCCGCTGTTTCCTCCCCCGGGGCTGCAGACACGGCTGCTTGGGAAGCCCCTGAGCCCCAGGGGGCTGGGGGGAGTGTCTGCCTGTTGCGGGGAGGAGGACAGGCCCGCTCCCCACCCCGCGCCACCGCCATGGGACAGGCGGTCCTCGACGGGAAACGCGCAGGAGAACGACCTGGGGTTCTCTGGCAGGGGCGGGGGGGGAGGTCTCGTCACTGCCGGGCCCCAGTTTCCTGGGCTGAGCCCCGCTGAGGGCCAGCGTCTGCTCTGCAGCCCCAGCCACCAGCCCCAGCTGGACTCCTGGTTGCCACTGGTGCGGTGGCCGCGGCTCGGCCCCTCCCGGCCGCCATGCTTGTCCCTTTAGGGAGCGGGAGCCGCTGGAGTGACCCTCACCTCGCTGGCCGAGCAGGTAGGCCGGGGCCTCTGGGCGAGGGCAGAGGCGGGCAGGGAAGGAGCAGGCTCGAGGCTCCGTGTGGCCCGGAGGCCGGCTTCAGCCCGCCTCACCGGCGGTTTAAGCGCAGAGAACTGGGTGTGAGCCTGACAGCGGTGGGTTTTCTAGACTTGGGAGTGGAGTGGTGGGCATGCTGGGTGACCTATCAGGGGCAGGGAGGCCCCTGAGGAGCCGGGGTGCTCTGGAGTGTCTACTCTGCCCTGGCTGGGGTGCGCGGTGGGAGGTGGGGGAGGATGGCCGTCTGCTTTGGTTTTATTTCAGCTCCGGGCCGGTGTTCCCCCACTCCCAGGGACACTTTGGGGGGCAGCAGCAATAGGAGGGAAACTGAGAAAAGGAGCACCCGAGAAGGTGGACACCCGGCTTTTGCAGCCCAGCCCCCGCGCGCCAGCCCTCACTCTCCAGAATGAAGCCAGGCTGGGAGGGGGGCGCTGACACGGGCTCCCCTCCCCCGCTCCCGAGGCTTCTCTGAGGGGGAGCCTGAGCGGCCCAGAGGGGCTCACGGGTGCCCCCAGCTCACTGAGGGCGCCGGGGCTGCTCATTCACCCCTAATCCTCAAAATAACCAGGAATCTGGCTCGTGGCAAACTGCATTTTCGAATCGAGGAAACCCAGGGAGAGGTTAACTCATCCGTGCTGCACCCCTGGCTGCCAAGTGGGCCGGGCTCTGGAGCCCGCTCTCCTAACCACGGGGGGCACAAGCCCCTCGGACAAGCTGCTGTGGGCGGGCATCTGGCCGCCGCCTGCCTCCCTCCCGCCCTGGGGAGCCGCTGCCGCCCGGCTCGGTCCGGGGTCCCGGGGGTGCCGCCTGCCTGGTGCTCTCGCCGCCTGAGGCCTTTGCCTGTCAGGCCCCAGCGCACACGCAGCGCCTGGCCGCCTGTGGACATGCCGCCGGCCAGCCTGGGCCCCGCCCGCCTGGCCGCGGCGACCTCGGCCGTCCTCTGGGTGTGCTTCCCGTGCGTTGCACACGTGTGTCCCGAACAGGCAGTGGCATGTGGGGGGACGTGACACTTGTTTTTGTCGATTTACCGAGGCTCAGGCACGGCGGCCGCCTCCTCGGCCCCCCTGCCTGCCCCTCCGGTCCTGCCTGATCCTGAGCAGAGATAGAAGCAGACTTCCGCTCTGCTCCTGCCACCGGCCAGGCCCTGCAGACAGCTGCTCCGCCTGGCCGGGAGCCATCCATCTTCCTGAGCCCCCCCACGCCTCCCCTCCCCTGCCGCCCCCCGCGGACACCCCGGCCTGCCTTCCAGGCAGCAGGAGATGGAGCTCTCTGGACCGCAGCACCCCCGCTGCACCCCGCCTCTTGCCGGTCCTGAGAGGAGGTCGGGCTGAGGGGCAGAGGCCGCCCCGGCTCTGCCTGCGTCCCCAGTCCGTCTCTGCAGTCATTGTTCGATCTGCTTGCCGCACCCCCGTCGCCCCGGCCTGCCCTCTGCTTTCTGCCCTCGCCAGTCTCCTTCCAGCAGCAGCCTGAGGGACTGCCAGGCCAAGGTCACCTCCTGGTAGCCGCTGGCCCCCGCCCAGACACACTCCACGAGGCGCAGCACGGTTCTGAGAACCGCAGGAGCCAGGCCCTGCGCGGACGCTTCTGGGTGAAGGGGGCTGCTGGGCTGCGGCTGGGCAGGGAGGCAGCGGGGCCTGGTGGTGGGGGCCATGTGGGCTGGAGGGGGGCCTCTCCCAGGGAGCAGATTGTGTCTACACCTTCCCCACACACCCTGTGGCGCCTCATCCCGCCGCCCGGCCCTCTGCAGTCTGCCCGCCGCTGCTGCGGGAAGGTGCTGCCGGCCGGCCCCTCTGCCAGGGCTGCGGGACCCGACGCCCTCCTGCCCACCTGCCCACCTCCTCCCGCACGAGTGGGGGCGGGGGTGGCCCATGGTGAGGGTGGGCCCGCAGTCACAGAGCCGAGGCCTCTCCTCCCGCCTCCTTGGACAGAGCCGGCTCCTCTGGGACGGGCATAACGGGGGGTTGGGGCTGTGGGCCCCCCCGGGCCCTCGGGCCAGGGGAAAGCAGGCCACGCTCTGCGGGCGGGCGGGTGGGCGGGCTCCTGGCACGTGGGCCTGACCTCCGCCCACCCTGCTTCCTGCCTCGTGGCCTGGGCAGCCCCGACGCCTCCGTGCCTGTGTTTCCCCGTCGGTGAGATGGCGATAACCTGGGCCGGGCTCGGGGCGTCTCAGGGCCGGGCGCTCCGGCCGAAGGCGGGCACGCCCAGCGAGCACCCCCTGTGTCAGGGGCGCGCTGAGCGGCTTCCGAACGGCTGGGGGCTCCAAGTAGCCCCGCCCAGGGTGGTCCTTGACCTGGCACACACCAGCTGGTGCCGGACACTTTGCCAACAAAAGAGACAGCAGAGGGTGGCACTGCTGGCGGCCCCCAGCCGGGCTGGACAAGCGCGCCCGGCACTGCCAACGCCCTGCAGCCGGCCGGGACACCCCCTCCCGGTGGGCTCTGCTCCCCCAGTGAATGTCAGCTCCCAGAGGAGCGGGAGGCGCTGCCCCCCCTCCCGCCCGTCCTCCGTCTGCATGCTAATGGCGCCGCTGGTGGGAGCTGAGTGGCAGGGAGGGCCGGGCGGAGCTGCGGGTGGCCGAGGGGTGGCCGAGGGCAGCCGGAGCAGGGGCTGCTGCTGTCTGGGCCTTCCGTGGCTGAGACGCTGGCGGCTGCCAATCTCTCCTGGAGACTGGAACAAGACCAGCGAGCTAATGGGGGGGGGGGCAAGGGCCGAGCTGCAGCAGCGGCTGCTCTCCTGTGCCCTCCGGGTGCACGCCTGCCCCCGACACGCGGTGTGTGCACAGGACGGCGCCTGACTGAGGCGGCGCGCTGGCGGCAGAGCAGGGCACCGGGCTGGCCCGGCCGCGCCTCACTGCTGGGGAGAAGCTCCACGCTCCCGCTGGGGAAAGCGACGCCGCTGGTGGGCCTGGGGGGGGCGGCCGGCCCGCTGCGCCCCAGACCTGCCCGTGCCTCAGGGTAGAGCGAGGTGCCGTACACTGCGAACAGCTACCACGTCACAGACGCTGTGCCAGGAGCTTCCTTTACCGGCATCGCCTGCTCTCCGAGGCAGGACTGTCTTTGTCCTCATTTGCCAGAAGGAAGGCGAGGGTCACGGAGTTTGCTCAAGGTCAAGTCTCGGGAAGAAGCCGACGCCTTCCCCCGGGCACTGGGCCCCGAAGCTCGTGAATCGGGGCAGACCCATGGCCAGGGCAGGGACCGGCGCTGCAGCCCGGCCAGCGACCCCGTGCGGGGAGGGGCAGGCAGGGCCTCCCCGCGCTGGGTCTTGGCAGTCACCACTCGGGGAGACTGACCGGCTGAGGCCCCAGAAGGCCAGTCCCGGGCTGCCAGGCAGGGCTGTCCCTGCAGCACTGTCACCGCATGAGGAGAAAGCAGTGGCACCTGCAGGGGTGGTAGCAAGATCGTCGGTCAGCCACTGTCACGGCCACTCGCTGGCCCTTCAGCC